ACTGCGTGGGTCAAAAGGCCTCCCGTGTCAGGGATGGGAACAATGTGATATGATATACCCTGCCAATGCCCTCTGGATCGACCAGGAGATCCCGCCCCTGCCTACCGGAATGATAGCCAGAAGACCCTTAGCGATGGGACGGAATGGCCCTTCGGCCCTTGACCGGGAACGGTAATGTATCCCTGGCGTTCTACTCAAGAGGCTCCTTGCCCGGAAGGAAATAAGGGGTCTTGTTATTGTTGAGTAGAGCGGGGGTCTCATTATTGCTGAATAGGGTGGGTCGAAATGAATTTTAAAAATCAGCAAGGTCGTGCCATGTTTGCCTGGGAACGTCTATTTTTTCAGAGTGGATCAGTGAAACAAACTGCATCAAAGGCTTTGAACATGTCCGCCCAAGACCTCGAGAGCAAGTGCATGGATGGCATGGGCCACAGCTTCCGTAAAAGCACAACCCCTTCAGCCACTGCAAGTACCACCAGATGGCGGGCGCCCTGTTAATCTGTCTTCTGGCTAGATAAGCAGCTGCGAACACACGAAAAATAGAGATTTTACCATAACTCTTCCATTTCAACCACCAGATTCCAGTCCCACTTTGCGGTGCTTTAAAGGCCAATTCGTTCTCTTCATCAGTCTAAAAATTGCGCACGTGAAATATGCGCTCAGACAGGCTTCTGAATGTAAGATATGATGCCATGAAGCGTCCAAGGATGCTTTTTCAGAAGCGTGATCATTTTCGTCCACCCGTTGGCCAGAACGTAAAATCAGCTGCTAGGCCGACGCTGCGTGGCCTACGGAGACTGCAACGCCTAGGGTCAAGGCTAATGTTAGCAAGATTTTCGAGTGCGTATGCTCAAAATTATGCCAGATGAGTTGTTTTACTAGTCGAGAAAGGTGTTAAAAGGTAATAATTTCAGAAGCGTCATCATTTTCGTCCACCGGTGGGACACGGCCAAATGCTAGCTACTGGGCTAACGCTCCGCGTACTAAGAAGTCTGCAACGCCTGGTGTCGAAGTTTTTGTAGCTAAGATTTGTGAGCGCGCATGTTAAAAAACACCTTACGGAAATTGTATCACTAATCGATTCTGACTGAATGGTGAACATTTTCAGGCAAACATGGCTTGGCCATGTTGATACACATTGTTGGCCACTCGATCTGCAATCAACTTTACATCTTAAAGATTGGATCAAACATATCGATCTACAATCTCCCTTCACGATGTCCTCAATGTCTTTAAAACCAAGGTAAAAATTTTGACAAAGCTTCTGAATTTCATCGGTTTAGGAATAGCCAACTTTGAGGGAATCACCATAAGATGGGCTTTTGTCAACCTTGTGTTCCCGCTTGGCAAGGCTCTGCCTACGCCCCTGCCTACACACAAAAGCAAATCAAGTCGCATACGTTGCATGATGGGCAATAAAGTGTCCGTTGGGCCAGTTCATTCCTAAGGCAGACAACTTCCCGGAGGCTATTTTTCTTTAGATAGTGTGGTCTGAGGGAAGATAGGTTCAGAAAAAGATACTGTTGCAGGTGTCCAACACGTGTTTCAAACACCATGTAGTAGTAACGCTGGTCCAAAAGTATGCAACAAAGCAGCCATGCTATCAGTTCGCAGTCAGTCATGCGGGAGACATCCGGGGCAGGGCAGTGACCACCGACGGCGAGCAGGAGCAGGGCCTAGATAAGGAACATAGGACAGATGGGCGTTATTATGTGGCTTAATTCTTAAAACAGAATCTCCAGTTTTATGGCTTTTTCACATTGTTTCTAACAGTTTCAAGCTCCCGAATTTGTTTCCGCTTAAAGTGCTGCGACAAGTCTTTTCTTTCGAAAAGCAGCCAGCGAAATGAAGGCGCATGAAAAATCTGTCGCACTGTGAGCCATCGATCCACTTTCAAAATTCTCACCAGTCTATATCCATACCGTATTTTGGCATCTACACTGTGGAGGCAGATGCTTCCCTAATAAACCAAAATGCCTGCCCATTCGCGCAATTTCGCCTCCCCAGGAAAGACAATGTTAAAGTGGACAAATAATCTAGGGAAGCTGGATAGCCTTATTTGCCAAATGACAGATGAGTCGAATGGGTAAGATTGTGCGCCAGTGATAAACAGCTCTAGATGCATATCTGGCATAGCAGTCATGACATTTGAATAAAGAGCGACAACAACCTCCATCCCTGAGCCCCTCCGCCGGTCAGCGGGCTCGCTTTCCAGAAAAAAATCCTGAGGTACACCCAGAGCTTCGCCCCACACTTTTTGAAACGTTCCTACGCCTGTAGCACATGCTAACCAGACGCTTGTTTGGTGCTAGGTGAATTGTAAATCAGCTCATGAGTCGATTGTTTTGGGATTAAGTTATAAGCTGCATTTGTTCACTAGAAAAAATGCTGCTCTGAGTCATGACCTGAATCATAGTTGTCATACATTTCATGAACTGAATCATGAGGCAATCATTTCTAGCGATGCTTGCATCAGTAAGTCATATGGCTGAACTTAATTGGCAGCATGAGGATATGCTTTGTATTCTAGGCAAATTAACATAAATATCAGAAAGTTAAAATGAACACCATGCAGCATTAATCACAACGCTTTTTGCTACGTCATGAGTTTGCTGTTCTTCCTAAGCAGCGAACACCATACTGTTGATCGTGGAATCTCCCAAATCTCGGCTGAGAACTGTTCACTTTTACGACCTGTATAAGTTATGAATCAAATGATTCAATGCAAGCACTGCGTTTGAACGAAGTCAAATTAAAAATAGAACAGGAATGAGTCATGCGCTGAATCAGATCCGAAACTCCTGTGAACCATTCCTTAGCTAACTCAAGAAATTTGAGCCGAACCCAAGCCTAATACAAACCTAATATACAATATAATAATACAAACCTAATACAAACCTAAGAACCATATCCCATCATCCGCACTACCCGCAACACGATATACCCCGAGCCCTGTAGTCCAGGATATATCAATGCCATCCCGTCCGGTAAAAAATGCTGTTCTATAAAGTAGGTGCAAGTGTTTCTCCTGGCACGTTTCCTAACCGCTTGCCCAGGCTCCCCACTGACCACCAACCGACCGACTGCGTCCTAGAAGCAACTCGCAATCAAGTGAGATTGGGATGTCAAAATGGTGAAGGTTTTCCACTCCCATAGAACGAAAAGAATTTCACGAGGTTCACCATTAAATAGCCTCATTTCCTGTGTTGAGGCCTTGGGTTACCGGACTGCGCTGTTTAGTATCTATGGGTACTAAACTCCGCCAGTTTGAGCACGAATCGGTACTATGCTCTGTTTATCGTAAGAAAGAACAGAATTCAAGCTGGTCAATCAATTCGTCACGAGCATCACATTGAAATGTTTTCAAACTCAACAAAATTGGTCGGAAGGCCTGCAGGACAGCACTGCGGATCTCTCGAAGCAATAGCGGTTTTGGATGTTTGCATTGCTTGCAGCAGCTTCATGTTCATATGGTTGGTCTAATATATATATATATATATATATATATATATATATATATATATATATATATATATATATATTGGCACTGGGGTTATTTTCGTTGGCAATTATTTTTACGTTCTAAATTCATTGCTTGCCTTTGAAGCAAGTTATGCTATACTTGCATTCGGTAATTGCCCCAAACTGGTGCTATTTCATGAAAAACGTGGGAAAATCCCAAACACAGAAAATTAATTCGCTCGGTTTTATTGAAGGCATTCAACAAAACGCTGAACATTCAGCTGCAGATATCTGTACAATACATCCAGCTCAAACACCCCACACGTAACTACATGCCACATCCACGTAAACGCTACGAAGTCAGTTGAAAAGAACGAAACGGAAACACTTCTCATGATCGATGTGTCATACTGTTCTCATTCATCGTTGTCGCTGCCGGAGTCGGTGTCGGAGTCGCTGCTATCATCGGTTGTTACGACAACCGATGGGAGATCTTCTAGCAGCCCGTCATTCGTCCAGTACTGCTGCTCCAGCCTTTTGACGTGCTCACAGCACTTACTCCAGTCCTCTGGAGAGACAGCTGCGACACCTGCCTCCACCAGCCGTTCCACCTCCTCCATCCGCCCCCTCAAGTTCCCCCGTCTTATCACGCGCTTCATCTATGCCCACACTAACTCTATCGGGCATAAGTCGCAGTGATACGGCGGCAGGCGAACAATCCGATGACAATGATCTCTAGCAAGGTTGTCCAGAAAATATTCTTCCACAGTAACATGTTTTCCGTCGATGTACATTTGGTGTACCATTCTCCTCATCACGCAAACATCGAACGGATCTAGATCCACCCTTGGTCTTGCTGCAGCTGGTCGGGATCGGCTTGGCAACTTCAGTCTGGCACCATTCTGGGCTTCACGTTGTATGCGGTGGACTGCACTATTCCCAACGCCCGTTACAGCTGCTGTTCTCAATAATGGACTCTCCCGGACGGCGTCGTCGTCTCCCGCCTTCAACTTTATGTCCCGGTCTTCGACAAAATGTTGATACACATTATAAACAATTTCCCTACTTTGTGCCCCAAGAATCCTTCCAAACGCTAGATTATATTTTTCATTCATTGGTAAGTAGGTACTAAAACATATAAAATATATAAAAAGACAATGAAACATACAAGTAAAACAATATAAACACTTTTCACTGCATAAAATATTACCACAACACCAAAGTGATGTCGGTCATGATGCCGGTAATTTTTAGGCTACAGCACACTTGAATAATGACCCACGCGCAAAAAACCGTGCAAAATCGTTGGCAGCACTTTAATTCAGTTCTTTCTTACGATAAACAGAGCATAACCACGGTTTCCCCCTTAGTACTGGTCCGTACTAACTAGGTTTAGACGTGTTGGTTCCCCGCAGTCGGCAACTCCATTGTTTACCTACCGTTGCTAGGCAACTGAAAGCATTCCCAAGTGACGCGCATGCGACAAACCTGGTGCGCTTCAGGCCGGCCACCGACGACAGTGAGCGATTGACGTCGGGGGAGGAGGGCTGTGTTTCCAGCATATTGCTTTAAATTCGAACATACTTGATTTCTCTGACTTCTGAAAAAAGACTTCCCTCAGAAACACTCCGGCTTAATCGCAGTCATAAGCATACGTGAGCGTATGGAAAGCTGCGTTAAACCCAGGTAAGATGCACTCGAGTGGCTGATTGTTGTACTGAAAATAGACCACCTGAAATATGTGATATGCTAAGCTAGTTCAAAGGAGATGCATGCATAGAAAAGAAATTTGCTTGATTGGTTCCCCAACGCGTGCATTTAGGTATTGGCTGTCGAGCACGCAAAACGCTACACTCCAAACTTGGCTGAAGTCCTGTGATTATCAAACTTCTAAGAGTGTTGAAAGTCATTGACATTAACCATCAAATGTCTAACATAAAATACGTCAGCTCTTTGCACGGGCCTTTTTCTGGTATTCGTCGACATATAAATCTGTCTAAGCAAATACTTGTTCCGATTGTCCGATGATTGTTAATTGCTCATCTTGAGTTCGTGGATGGGCATGACCTTCATCGACAAACAGTGCAGCACTGCACATAACAATGCATCTCCCAGCAGCTTGTAGCTGAAGAATGCCATGTAGATTTCGCTCACGTCGACACATGGACGATCTCGAAACAAAACGATGTGGTATCGTAGGGAAGATGTTATGCCTGCGAAGAAGTGCCCAACAATAACTTCTGTTGTTGCCGTTGGAGTGGGATTTGGCTGGGGTGCTCTTTTAGTTCTTGTGTTTTAGGGCGCAAAACGCAATAGAAAAGGACGTGAATGCGATGATAAGGAACGCACGTTAATGACACGTTGATGTTTTGCAAACACGAATGCAGCCCGACGTCAGATGGAGACCGGCCTTCACCGATCCTGGATTTGGGGAAGGTGTGTGTGCTCGAGTCTCACCTATCGGTGCTTCTTTTTGATCCTGCTAATGCCAACCCATGGCTAACTATATTCCTTGCATCGGAGCATCTCCCACTGCAACCCTTTTTAGTAACCTCGCAGTATCATATGCATGGCAAGCCTGTTTCGAATCAGAGATGAATTCAAGTTTTGCAGGGGATTCAGGGAGACATTAACAAACCACGGGGAGATTCAGAGAGCGAGGGCACAAAAAGACTATATAAAGGCTAGAGGCTTTGGATGGCTTTTTATATACTCTTAAAGGCTCTATAAAGACAACATGGCACAGTGACATGAACGACATTGTCAATTGGCCCAAAGTTGTTATGCTGGTGAGCCAAATAACAATCAGTCTGTAGTTTAGTATAGCTGGAGCAAATTGTCTAATGGTATAGCTGTCTGTAGCAGCTGGTTTCGATGAAAGGATGCTGCCATAAATCACATCTGTGACGTACCTTTATAGTTTGGGTACTGATAATACGGTCCACCATAAACGTAGTGAAAACAAACCTTAAACACACACACAGTTATAGCCACACACCATTTATATATATATATATATATATATATATATATATATATATATATATATATACTACACGCAACCACGCATGCTGGAGCCGCCCATCGGTGACGCGCTAGTCGCCGTGTTCGCCTCGCGCCGCTACATCAGCAGGTTTTCGCGGTTATTAATCAGTTTTATATTCCTATGTCAATAATTAACCCTTGAATATGAAGTCAAAGCTCAAGTTTTACCGAAAGTCAAACTTTCTTAGCTTAACATGCTCACATATAACGGACCATTCCACTTAGCGACACAACACCTTAGCAAGCGTGTTTCTTGTTCAATTCTAAGTGTCGGGAAGGGGTATAGCTTTATGTTGATAAGCGCTGTTATATATATATATATATATATATATATATATATATATATATATATATGTATATATAAAAGCGCTTGTCAACATAAAGCTATATATATGTGTATATATATAACACGCATATATATATATATATGTATATATATATACATATATATATACATATATATATATATATGCGTTTGTATATGTGTGTGTGTGTGTGTGTGCGTACATGCGTACGTGCGTGAGTGCGTGAGTGCGTACATGCGTGCGTGCGTGCGTGTGTGTGTTTAGCATATATGTAGGAGCTATAGGTTCGTTAACGTAGCAATGTTGGCCCGCCGCGTGCGTTCCGAGGCATCATCGGTTCCCTCCCGACGCCCGCTCATGCCGTCGATCTCCGCGCAGTATTCGTAACAAAACTGCTGTTGCTCCGAAACTAGAAATGTTAGGGACACGTTTTTGTTTAAAAACACGCACCATTGGTGCCCCCTCCCCCACATGCCGCTGATAATTTGGGTGCGATTATATGACATGCTGAAGCGGTTTTCTAAGAAACCTTAGGGGTAGAAGGGTCGCTCGACCCCCTCTTTCGCTGTCGGGGCGAGAGTTAAGGCTCAGGCCAAGTCACAGTGCCACCTTATGGCAACGGTTTCGGAGTTTCTGAAAAGACACTAAATGACTAGTGATGTCGACAACAATCACGTAACTTTATGAAGTCAAGAAATAATTTGCAGTTATCTTGCATTACACGATGTTTCCGCACATTTGGGTGGCACTACAGACAATTTCCCAGTCGTTCGTTTCATAGGTTTTTGAAACAGGCCCCCACAGGATGGAACTTCCCCTTCAGTTGCTCGCTGCAGTGCATTCCGCTGATGTCTGTGCGGCCGACAGATAGGAGTGGGTCAGGACTGAGCAACACTTTATTGTTGGAGCTTATCATCATCAATTTATTCGTAATCTAACATGACAAAGGCACTTGGTGTTATTTTGAGATACTGAAACATGCGTTGTTCTCCGACCTGGATTATATAACGGAGTATGCATGAGTGTTGTATCCACGCAGGAGGCTGAGTCTTCTGCCATTTAATGCGCAGCAATGCCTGTGCATCTCTAATGAAGACATCAGGGATTTCCTCTCTTCATATAAGTAGCAACAACTTTGACCTTGTGTATTTCAGGCAATATAGCATGACACGTAACATGCGGCCTTTGAATTCAATGTGGATTGAAAATGACGCAACACTTTTTAGTGTTGAGGTAATGTTTTGTAACGTTTTTTGATGCGTCCCAAACACAAATTGTCGCTATTAGTACGTCGGAACAGATTTTGTCAACCGCAACGGAACATGTTTGCTTAGTCTGCTCTTGAACAAACGGTACCAACAACCGTTCGGGTCGCCACGATGACCTTTTTCCATGCGCATGTTATGCTTATTTTGTCCCAAGTCGATGGCGAACTGCAGCGATTAGAGCGCCGGGACTGCTGCCGTTGTTTTGGGAGATGTCTTCTGACAAGGAATCCGTTGGCCTGCCAATTTAGAAAATCAAGCTGCTCATGTACTATTTGCCTCCGTTTGTCGAGCAGGGTAAATACGCTAGTTTACCATACAACCCCAAGGCTTGCTCTGTCCTGCAGCTTGCAAAAAGGTCAGGTTATTATTGGCGTGTGCGCAGGCCTCATTCAATGTAGGCCGTCGGCCATGTTCAGCGCCGCGTTGTTTCGATCCGAGGCCGGGCAGCGCATTCAGCCCGCCGTGCATCGCAGTTTTCACGGGGTCATTCCCGCCATCAGTCACACAGAACGCTGGTCGTAATGCATGGCCAGGGGGCATGCGACGAGGAAAGGGGACCGCTTTGCATATACCGTTTGCATGCGCCACCATTGCAAATAGCTGTATAGCAAGACACAGAAAAAGTGTTGTCTCTAAGTGTGGATTTATATTGCTGCCAGGAACGAGGTGTTTAGTATCATAATGCATTTTTCTCTATTCCACCAATGCGTCTATTCACACCCGGTTCGTTGGGTACGTTGCCAGTTTATTGGGCACAGGACACTTGATGTTCTACAATCGAGTTCCAGCGTGTGGTTGTCGGGGTGTCTGTCGTGCATTTACAAAAATTTGTTCAGGTGTTTAAAGTTAAAGGCCACTCCATTTTAAACGCATTGATTCTCACTGCGCAGCGGAGTACGTTTACGAAACCCATACCTTCGCCTCAGCGTCAAACATCAATCACGCCGGCGTCGACCATTGGACGCGAGGCCATCGGCGCCGTGCTTGTCGCACTCGGTGTCGCCTCCCAGCGAGAGACTCGCCGCGTAACCGGCGCTCGTCTGTCGACAGGAATGCATGGACTATAGGCAGTACTGTGACCTGAGCAGCACGGACGAGGAGGACATGACAGACCTGATGGCCGGCCAGGCGGCCACCAAACACGGCGGTCTAGCCCAGAACGGCGAGCTGCCCTTCTACGCCCTGCCGCGCGCCAAGAAAACCTCCGCCGAGATCATCCATGAGGTGTGTACACCTCGCGGGGGGAGGGGAAGGGGACGCTTCACGACCGCACGCCGGACATCGGATTTCTGGGATGGCTGAGCAGGTGTGATGCCGTAGGATGGCCAAATATCGTGTTGTTTGCGTTTTGGCGCCCGGGTTGTGCGATCGTCGTGATAATTTACGCGCTCGTGTCTCACCTGGGCCATACCGCTGATTTTCACTAAGACCTTTTTGTTTGCGAATGTACCTTTATGTCGTTGTTGGGAGCCGTGTCCGTGTCCATGGGTGTCGCCAGAATGTCAAGGTAGATGTCAAGAAAGTATAAAACGTGTTGCGAGACGATGTCAAGCGTTTGGATGGTGAACTTAATTCCAAAACTTTCGCTAAGGCTGATCATTTGAAACGTCTGCCTCCTTGGGCACGCAAGTGTATGTCCCTGACGGCCGCGTCCATGAAACGGCATCTTTCACTCTCGGCATCGTGATGCAAGAAACAAGCATTAGCAAACTCGTAAGCCACACCAGCATCTCTGTATCTTGTCTAGCCACGACCTGAGATGGCAAACGTTCGGAAGAGGGAGAGATCAGAAGTCAAGACCTGGTGTGTGTAGCTTGGACCGCTGCTGAATTTCGTCCCACCCCGTCGTTTCGTTGCCAGTGTACCGGACCGGTAGCGTAGGGCAGCGATTTACCCGGTCCAAACCTGCCCGATGCCACGGTCGCCACCTGTCCATCGCTGCCTCGCCGGGCTGGACTGGCACCTTTCCCGCTGCTGAGCCGTGTTGACCTACGGATCGTTCCCTTCCCTGAGCAGCCGCCCGGCCCCAGCTCTGACCTGTGCTGACCGCGGCCGGTGACCTGTACCCATCGGCAGGCGCGGGCGGCACTGGGCGACGGCAGGGCCGTGGTACGCACGGTGGACACGACTCGGCCGTTCACGCCGCGGGACCGGCAGCGCACGCTGTTCGGCACGGCTCAGAGCTCGACCGGCTCGGCCCGGCCCACCAGCGCCTTCAGGTGGGTCAGCCGGCCGGCGCAAGGGTGCGCCAGGGACGGGGCCAGGGACGGCAGGCTATACAGGGGCGAGGTCTACGGCCGGAGTGCTGCCACATCTGGCCGGAGTGGAACTCCTACCGGCTCCAGGGACGGGGCCAGGGAAGGCAGGCCATACAGGGGCGAGGTCTGCGGCCGGAGTGCTGCCACATCTGGCCGGAGTGAAACTCCTACCGGCTCCAGGGACGGGGCCAGGGACGGCAGGCTATACAAGGGCGAGGTCTGCGGCCGGAGTGCTGCCACATCTGGCAGGAGTGGAACTCCTACCGGCTCCAGGGACGGGGCCAGGGAAGGCAGACCATACAGGGGCGAGGTCTGCGGCCGGAGTGCTGCCACATCGGGCAGGAGTGGAGCTCCCACCGGCTCCAGGCTGTGTGATATGTGACTGGAAAGGAAGTGCATACGTGCGCTCACCGATGTATTTTGTGTACAATTTATCATGGAACTCTTATGGCGGCCTTTCACCGCCTGGAAACTTTATCGATGCTGAAACGGAAACGGACACTACCATGGGAGCCAGTACAGGAGTTGAGCCGCTAAAAAGCGAAGATGATGCTTATCCATGGACTACGTTGTGTCAACCACGCCATTTACACGTCTTACACTTAAGCTGGTCGCCTACTTTCGGGAACATGCTTCTTCTTAGAACAGGTCTTTGTTAGTAACCAGCAGCGAATATGCCGAGTAATAGCATGACACGGAATATCGACTGGGCTGCGACTACTAACTCCTCATTGTCTTTTAAATAACGTTTTCCTGAAAACCCGATGGCACGGCGCTAATGACACCGGTCATCCTCGAATGCTGCATGTTGCATGCAACACTTGTCACCCGGCCACACGGGTACAGCTTACACCGGGCAGGCGTGGGTTTGTATGGGGTTAGTGAGCGAGAGCTACTGGCTAGAGTGTGGCACCAGTAAACAGCAGGTGAACCGGAGTGTGCCCTGAAGCATCAACCTGGCGCTCGACTTCTGGCGATGGCGCCTCGGAGCAGGACGTCTCTTAGCTTGCGGGTGGTCGCATCCATTGGTGGTGGATACTGGCGTGTCGCTCACGGGAGCGGCGAGCCGCGGTAACACGCCTCATTCCGTTGACTCAGGCATGCATGGGATAAAAATGGCATGCCATTGGAAGCCGTTCTTCACTGACTTTCTGAAACCACGGTAAATATTAACTGGAGGATGCCGAGAATGAGGTGAGAAGGCGAGCTTGCCGCCGGCCCATGGCGCTGTGGACTTCGAGTAGCCCCTTCATGGGACTTTGGGCGTGGAGAGTGGTGTGATCAGAGTCGGCATCCCTCTGATGAACCTCACCATCGCCCTGGCCTAGAAAAACAACCGTGCTTCATGTTTGTGTAGGCCTCATCAATAACACCCTTGGTTTGCATGTCAGCGTTGTAGTAACACTATGCTGACGTTAGATATCAACATATGTAGATATCATAGCACCAGCTCCATTCAACGGCTGCGGACAACCACGTCGATCAGCCATAATCACTGCTTATTGTACCCAAGGTCTCGACGGCGGAGCCAGCTGTACCAATATCTCGAGAGGGCATAGTCCTCCGTGATGATTCACCTCGGCCGCACTCCGTCTCTTGGCCGCCAGAGCCAGAGCCGCGGGGTGCGCTGTCGGGCCTCGAAGCCATGCGGCGGCGGTCGCCAGGCGGGAGACCGCCTCTCGTGCCGGGCCGGCCGAGCTCGAGGGAGACTCGGCCGGCCGGCGGGCCTCCCGCACGCCCGGCCGGCCGCCGGCTGATGGCGACTGACACGCACGTGTCCCAGTTGTCCGGGCCGGGGGCACGCGAGCCGGTCACCTATGGATCGGCTCCGGCGAGCCGGGCCGGCCGACGCTGTGTGCTGGCTCGGTCGCGAGCAGGGCCCGGTGGCGGTAGGGGCGTCACTCGCCGCCGTGTCCGCGCGGACGCAGCGGATTAGTCTTGGTGTCATCGCGAGATGTTGTTAGCCTGCGAGACAGTCTGGGCGGCTCCGGCAGTTGTTCACACGTCTGCGCTCGCGTGCGCGCCGTGCCCCTCCGGAGCACACCGCCACATCTACGGACACGAGTTGATCTGTCGGGCACCAGTGGGGCGACCTGCGGCCGTGTTCCACCGAGCCAACGCTGGAATGCGGAGCTTTGTGTTTCGCCTGACATGTCGCCACCCCATCACAGGGGCGGGGTGCAGATGGACCGTTCTCAGATGCCGAGGGCGAATAACGTGCTGACTCAGCCCATGCCACGTGGGCATCTACTGCAGGGCGCCATGCTGATTCATGGCATGGGGTGCGCTCTGGATCGAAATTAGGCTCTTTCGGCTCTGCCCCGCGTCGCTTCCAGGAGGGGAGGGGATGTGCCGGCATTCACGTGCGGGGCCCGGTGCGGCCGGCGGTCTTCGGTCCCGTGCGGCGGTCTGCGAGCGCAATCCGGTCACCAAATGCTCGCTCAAGCCGCGCCACAACAGGGGGTCGGCCTTGACATTTGGGCCCTGGCGCGCGCTTCGCCGTCAGTGCGCATTGTGGCACCGGGAACAATTGCCGTTGGAGGCGGTGCTGCCCTTCATGGCGCCGGCTGCAGCCGCCCACGCCGGCAAACACTGCCGGTGTGAGGTAATGCAGCAGCGACCAGCCATTGACAGGTGGCGAAACCGGCGGCAGCTGGATCTGGGCTCGTGACTCTTATTGGCGCTGTTCGCGCGGACACGCAGACATAGCTTTTCGTAAATGCTGGCGGCAAATATGGCGGAGTATTTGTCATCTGCGCGCTCATCGTATCGATTGAGTATGTATGCGCATTCAATGCGTGTAAGAGCGCGCAAACGACTTCATGAAATTTGCGCACAAAGGATTGCACACACAACTTGCGGCTGTAAATCGTGACGTTATAAACAGGACCGCGCTATAGCCACACAGGAATGGGACGCGTTTCTTTTAATCACAATTTATGTATGTCCAGAAGCATTTTTGGCATAGTCAACATTAATCCAGACCGTCACCTCAACTGGCGCCATAAAAGTGCGCGACCCGATCAGTTTGAAGCCGCGGCACCCTTCATGGTTCGGTCTCTGAGACCAGCTGTTTCATACTGTATCATTACCACGTCTTCTTTGATCAGGCACGGAGTAAGGTGCCATCATGAATAACTAATCCGTGTACCAGGTGAGCATGTATGTCCGGAAAAAGGCACCCCATCGATCACGATGTTAAGCTCATACACTGGGACCACATCAGGCATGACCACGTACATGCGCATGCTTTCGCCTAAAGCCGCACCGCACGGGTAAACACGTCGCAGTCCAAACATACTGCGAGGAATCACGCTGTGACGCGTGTCTTAACGTGCAGCATACAACACTGCTATTACACTTAGATGCAAGAGACTGAAGCGTCATCACATGATTGTGGGGTTGGTGCGTTGCACAACAGCCAAAATGACGGTTACTCACTCTTCGAAGCTGCGTCCTCTTTTTTATATGTAGGATATGAGTCCAGAATGTCCGCAGTGTCCGGATTCCGGACAATGAGTCCGGAATGTAGCTAAAGCTACTGGACTCGTTCTTTCTTCATTCTTTCAATTGGATTATGGACCATCAGCGAAAGATATGCCTTTGCTGCCGTGGCCTGGATTTCAGTGCTTGCACCGCCCGTGCGATGAAAGATCGTTGGACCCGTGGCCTGCTTGCCTTGATTTGGGAATCACGCCCAGTGTCTTTACGCGAGCACGGCGGAGCTTCAGTGCACTGTAAGGGGATTGATGCTCCCTCTAAATGCAGCGAAGGCTGATTTTTCTGAAGGCAGGCAAGCAGCCAGACAGTCAGGCAGTCAGACAGGCAGGCAAGGAAGCTCTTGGTTTTTTTTCGTAGTTTTGGAGCCTGGTGAGTTTTCGTACTGAAAAGATCCTACCTGCAGTATTCCAGAAGGTACTGGTTACACAGGGAGCTCAGCAATCATCCTGATGACTGATTGGTATGACCGCTAAACTGATACATCTTGTCATGTTGAGGGCCGGCTATTTTCGGTGAACTACGCATGCATAACGATTGCTTTTCACGGCTGTTTTCTCCCCGGGGTGTTGGGCAGTTATACTGACGTAAATACCAGCTCGCACGCCAGTTGCAACACATCCCAGCCACCAACATCAGTCAGCGGTCCACATTTCGACGGGCTGGCTGTCTGCCAACACACCACCCGCGGTCCTCCAACCCTTCACATGTACAGTGTGTAGCGCTCGGGGTGACACGTGACCTCCAGTATGTTTTCACCTCCTGGAACATCTGATGACCAGCGACATCCCTCACATGCGTCATTCCCTACGTTCTCCAGGCTCAGGGCACTGGACGACTCATCATGCCCATCTGGTGGAAACTACGCGAACTAGATCGCATCACATTAAGCGGTCGGTGCTGAAGTCCAGGGCTTGAAGGGAATGTTTCACATTTGAAGATATTGAAGCAAGTATGAGATATGATGAAACTAGCTCATTTGCAATTATTGATATACTTTTTAAGTAAAAAAGACCGCTCTAGACGGCACAATTTTCTGTTTAGCAAATATGCTCTTCAATGCGTCATGGTTTGATTACGTCATCGTACCTCGCGCAACATCGATGGAGAGCGAATTGACGACCGTTGTATCTGGAAATTGCGCTCACGAACGCCAGCTATGAACGCCTCAACAGTTTTCAAAAGACTCGACTAAGGCATCTCCAGAGCACCGTCTGTTGAGGTCCTTAAAAAGCTGCTGCTTAGGTTTTATTCAAAGTCCAGAATTGTGCAATGTTTTGTGCAACTGGGGCTATTTTGGAACCCTTAAGTTCAGATAAGGTTTTCCTGAGTCTCCGATGGAGGTCATCCATATTAAGCGGTTAGGTAATAATAGTTTCCAGGCTATGTTTCGATATCAATGCAATGCGACTGCCGAGTTAATTGGGATATCAATGAAGCATCAACGCCAAAGTTCTCAGTCA